ATATCATCACGTTGGCACTGCAGTGTAGTCTGAGTATCCAGGAGGCGTATGGGGTTCGTGAGACAGAAGTGGGTCAGGAGCTCCGAGTGAAGATAGGTACTGTGATTGCTAGTGGAATAATGGCACTTTGCACAGTTACAGTGTACTTCCCATGTGAGCTTCCCAAAACACTTTGCACAGGTGAGTAAGTATGATTCTCCCTGTAGTCCAAGTGGAGAAATAGAGGCATGGGGAGATACCCATAGTCACCCAGTGAGTAAACATTTTTCACTCCCAAGACGTGCCAGTGAGAAGTGTAATGCCCAGTCTTTTCTTTCTTTAGCAGGCCATGAGTTGGTGGAGAATGTGAACTGTTCACTGCTCTGACCTTGCATCCTTTTTGTCAGAATCTCATGATAAAGTTGCTACTGCAATTGAGGAAAATGTACTTTCCATCAGAGAAGAGAGCATTTCTGTGACTTGAATACAGAGTATTTCACCTTTAAGTTGCTGACTATGAATTGTTCCCTTATGATGGCTGCTTGGTGACTTTTGAAAAATGTGCTGCTGATGTCACTTGCGTTCCCAGCAGACAGATGTCTATAATGCATTAACCATCACTGCATTCATTAACAGTCTCTTTAGAGAGGCCAAGGTCTGAATTGACTGAATTGGGTTTTGAACTATTGAAACACATTAGCAAGGAAGGTTGAAGGAGGCTGAATTGCAGCTATATATCCTGGAGATAAGTACCTACATTTTCCATGATGCCAGTTTTACTTCATTCATCAAGCTAACTATACCACTGTCTCCTGACTAGGACTGCTGGGGGAAAAAATATTCAAACGTGTTTTTTGATGGAAGATTGAGTTTTTGATTAATTTTTTTTTGTGTGCTAAATGTCTGCTTTCCATGAACATTTGAATTAAACCAAGGTACCAAAAACAAAGCAGCTAAAAATAGAAATATTTAAATTTAGAAATGCTGCTGCCAGTGCTTCATGGGAACTGTAGCCTGACTATTGCATGTCTCTATTTTCTTCTACAGTATAGGTTCCCTGGTCAGGCCCGATCTCCCTAAAGCAGTGGTTCTTGACCTCTTTAGCCTGAAAGCACTCCTCTGGAAATGTTCAGAAGTTAGTGGTGCCACATCTAAAATAATAATATATAGTGTGAATATTACTATATAAATACTCTATTAATTAATATATTGTTAATTACATGTCATAGTATATATAATACTAGATCACAGTATAATATAAAATGTAATTAGTATAACATTATAGTATATAGTATAAAGTATAACATTCACTTGTTCAAGCTGCTTCCCTGACTCCCCTGTTTCCTCCCGGTGAGGTACTTGGTCTCCCTACACATGGGCCCAGGTGACATGGGTCTGGCCTTGGTTATCCCAGGATGATCCCCCAATAACTCTAGCCCTGGGGCCAAACAGGAAGAGTTCAGGGACACTCAGCCAGCGGGGTCAAGGTGCTGTGCTGCACATGTAACCCGGGAACATCCAAGGGTGTGCCTGTCCTCAGCTGGAAGGGATAGATGAGGCAGGTGACAGTGCTGTGAGAGGGACACCGGCGATTTAAGAGCAGGTCCTTCTTTCCTCTATAGAGTCAACTCCACGCCAATATTCTTAACTATTTACAGTTTATTGAATTATAATATACATATTATTTCTTATTTAAAAAAAATATATATATACATCTCATATGTAAATATTCTAACAGGTAACAAAAGAAAACTTTCCAAAAATATTCTTAGAAATATGTTTTAACATCATCACCAAAGGTATACAGATAAATATTTACAATACGATAAGCCAAAAACCCATTATATCAAACTAATCCAATTCCATAACATTTTGTACAACATATTCATAATTATGATTACAATTATACAAAATATAAGGCGCAGTTTTACCTGACATAAAGTGCGTTTACCCCTGGGTCCCAGCTAGCAAGGGGTGCTTCTCCTTCTATGGGTCTAGAAAACTTCTACCCGGGGCTTCCCTTTGAGGGGGTTGGGGGTTGCCTTATTTCAGGAAT